CACCGGCACCAATTAAACCATCACCACCTATAACACCGGCACCAATTAAACCATCACCACCGATTACACCCGCGCCAATCAAACCATCACCACCGATTACACCCGCGCCAATCAAACCATCACCACCTATAACACCGGCACCAATTAAACCATCACCACCTATAACACCGGCACCAATTAAACCATCACCACCGATTACACCCGCGCCAATCAAACCATCACCACCGATTACACCCGCGCCAACAACTAAAGCACTCCCACCTATAACACCCGCTACAACAACAACGACGACACCAACGACGACACCAACAACAACACCAACGCCAGAAACACCAGATACACCAGTACCGCCAAAAACTACACTAACACCTCAACCACCCCCACCACCGACACCAACAACAACTACAACGACAACAGCCATACCGACAACACCATCGGGCGCAATGTCGCATATCTATTATTTTAATTATAATTTATTAACATGGGTTATTTGCATTACTCAATTATATTTATTGCTAAAGTAAAATTATAATATTAAATATAATTAATTAAAAATGTTATTGCGTTTCAAACGCTAGATATTAATAAAATATATCCAAAATCAAGTATATTATTATAATACAAAATTAAATAAAATTACAATACATTATTTTCATTTTAAACAGTATTGTACGGTTGGCTCCTGCTTTTATAACATTTTTATAAAATAAATTATGTTTTATTTCTAAAATTTTGCACCTAACCTAACCTAAACAGTAAAATAATTATATTTAACTAAACAACATATTATAATATACTGTAGATTATGTTATGTTTGGTTATATTAATTAAATTAAAAAAATTTCGGTCAAATTTTAAAGTCAAATATTTTGGTATATATTTGAGATAAAGAAATGCTAAAAAAATGCTAATGAAGTGCGTTTTACGTTGATATCACTGTTATTTATAAAATTTACAATGCTAAAACGTATAAAACGCACAGGGACTAAAAGTCTGTATGCGTGCCCCCAACATAATTTATAGTAAGCATAATGAGCCCGTTGACATGATTGAATATAATTAGAAATTGTCCCATATTTTATATACCACGTGACCAAATTCTACAAATGATGTGTGGAGAAATAATCGCGGATATGACCTAATTATATGCTTTTTACAAAATTTAAATACCTCTTATAGTTTAAAAGATATGAGAATTCTACGACCGAACAGATTATTTGACCGATTCTTTATTTATTCTTGTATTATGTTAAAATTCTTTATAACTCAGAAAATTCCTGTATGCTTGGTAACGCTACCTACACGACAATAAAATATTAATAAACATCATGGCAATTTCATAATGTCAGCAAAACCCTAGAATACAAAATTATAAATTATTTATACGTAAATATTTTGATAATATTTAATAATTATTAAAATAAATATTTAAGGTAACTTTTTATTATAAATATATTTACCTTTATGCCATAATTAAATTTTGTGTTTACTTTATGTTATTATATTGACTTATTACATTGAATTATTATGCAAATTATATGATCTATAAAATAAAAAATAATGTTGTTAAATAGAAAAACAATGTGAAAATATACATTAGCATTATGCAAGAATATTGCATTAAAGCAGTGTACATTCCTATTTTTAGTTTATTTTGAAATATAATTTACATCATGATTAAACATATAAATTTAAATTTAACCAAGTTAATTATATTTACATTGACCGTGAACAGGTTATTTGGGGCAACCTTTGGTGGATTAGCCATTAATGCTTTTACAGGCCAACCTCACGTATCAACCCTATGCAAATATTATGGTTATTTATATTTTATTGTTATGATCGGGCATTTAATATTCACCTCGTTTACATCATACGAATACTTGTCCAGCGTATATAATACAGATAGATATCCACTATTTGTATTGACTTTAACGATATTTATTGTGATACTACACCGATATCTACGTAGCGTGACCAACTCGGGAAATCGGCAAATAGGATATTTTACGATATTTGACAATGAAATAAAGGACAAATATAGGACACACGTTTTTATTGATTATTTAATTAACAATAATTTACTGTTATATTTTACACTGCTATATATTTAAATTTATTTTTTGTGGTACAAAATCAAGCAAATTCTGATTGTTTAAACATACAATTTGAATTAGTTTCAATCCGTATTAAAATAAGTTACAATACAAAAAATGCTAATCTTGTGGGTTAATGTTAGTTATATGGTTTTGCTATGTCTAAGGGTAATGCTTATTTGTTAATTATTCAGTTTTATTAATTTAATAACAGCATTTTCTAAGACCAGCGTTTCAAAAGAACTAGCGTTCATGACACTTTTATATAATTTTTCCAAAATTGGATTATCTCCTAAAGTTAAAAAGTAATTGACAAAACAGCATGTATATTGATTGTCACATTATTTACAGTATATACTGTGTATACAAGAGGAGTCATTGTATTCAAATAATTGTCCTCTATTTTGTATTTTGTTTAATTATTCAATAATTTGTAAAATATATTGAAAATTATTATTAACATTTTTAAAAATTAAGCTAAATTGGGTTAAAATTGTTTTAACTTTTATTTAAAAATTTAAATAGGACATTCAATAGTCCTATTTAACCCCTACATAGGACACTAACCGATCAGCTCAAATATAGGACTGTCCTTTGTAATATAGGACGGTTGGTCACGCTATATCTACGTCTGTACAACATGTACTATTACAATTTAAAAGGTTATGATCTAGCGGTTAATATTGGCAAATATTTTGGTTCTCATTTGACCCATAACTGTATAATTAATATACAAATGTTAATTGTATTCATCATATGGTTATTTAACACAATGATTTACATGTACTTGTACTTGGTGTTGGTGCTTATTGTTTTATTGCAAACGGTCAATTAAATACAATAAGTTACAAGTTGCAAGTGGTTGAGCCGTTACTTTTGATCTGGCAAGTTTGGCTCACTCCATTGATCACCTGGATTATTTCTATACTTGGAGGAAATGTACTAGATAAAATACATGTGGATTTAGCTTATTTAAGTATAAAAATTAATACATTTTAAAAATAGTTATTAATATACTTTTTATAAATAAGGTAAAATTAATAAACATCTAATACTGTATCAAAACAAACAATTGGTATTAAAATTAAGAAGTATAATAAGATTGTATGATAATAACCTGGCTAATAGTTTGGTGATGAACGCGGTAACAATCACCAGTACAGTAATGATGTCCATCTATACGACCACTTATTTATGGGACGATCTGTACATAAAGTCAATGTCCATCGGTATAGCGCTGTCGTCATTCACTGTACAACTGGTGGTCTCGTGTGTGATATGCGGTTCCGTCGGCAGGAAATTGGATAATATTAGGGAAGTGTTGGACGCCGTCAACGGTGACCAACTCACGGACCGGGAGTTCCGGGAATTATTGTTGTTTAAGGATATCGCCAAAAATACCCGCAAATATGGCTTCACTATTGGAGGGTTTGCTGTTTTTAATAAATCTACACTTATAACGGTATAAATTATTTCTTATCTTAAATATTTTTATTTCTGTGCATAATTTAATAAATTAAGTTCTTTATTATTTATTTTGTAGATTTTAGTATTTATGCTCAACTATACGGTCATATTATTGCAAACTCGAAGATAAATAATCTTTATATTTACTTATTTATGTGTATCAAGAATCACACTGGCTAGATAAATATTTATTGCTAATTAATTAATAATAAAATATAAATTTTAATTTATTTTACAAATTATTAATACATAATTAATATATGCTATTTATTTATAGTAAAAACATTTTCAATAATACTGGACATAATTAATAATTCAAGTAAATTATATTTAATAAATACTAGATTATGAAAATTGTAAAGCTAATAAGTATTGGTATTAAATTACTTTACACTTACATAGATGGTATTGTCATTATTAAAACAATTCATTCTATAATCAATCAATAATTCTTTAAGGTAATGTTTTTATAAAGTTCTTAAAAGCTATTTGCTAATGATAAAATAAGTGTGAGTAAGCAATTCCATCAAGGTTAGCACATCTGTACATCACATTCATTTAATATAATAACTGAGATAATTATTAATTGTTGATTATGCTTTTGTATTAAGGTTGTAATTGTAAATAACACAATCAAATGTAAATGTTTATGATGGAAATATACAATTTAATTGTAAATAAACATTTTTATTAATTATCACAAATAAATATTTACCTTTAATTATTACAAATAATATTTACAGTAATATGTTAATTTAGGTTTAATTTACAAAAATATTAATTTAAATATAAAAATTAATTATTATAGTAAATTTGTATTAAAATTAATTATCAAATTTAAAACATAAGATAAATTACTACTGAGAACAACTCACCTGGATTATAAAATATCATGATGCTAAATCTGATAAAAATTAAGTGTGCTGTATAAATAAATACTATATTGCAAACCTATTTAGCAATTATTCTTAAGTGTTTGGTACTAGATATAATAATCAAAACAAGCATCGCGGTGTGCAAAATATAAGTAATACAATACAAAATATAACCATATATAAATCCACCAAAAAGTCAGCTAGATTAGTTAATAAATTAACTGTAAACCATACATAAAATGTACGCAAAATTATCTGCCTTAGCCCTATTGTTGGTGGTTGCATACACCGAGGCCAAATTCTTGAGCGGTCTATCGGGCACACCTGCCGATGACTTGGTGAAAGATCCATGCTTTCTAAAAAGTTACCAAGATGCCTACAAAATAGTCCACGCTAAAATACCCGACATCGACCCCACCATTAAAGATCCCGCTTACTTTTGCTGTGTCGCCTGGGTCGAATTGGACGCTATGAGGGATGCTGGCAAGGTTGGTATACTAAACACATTTAATTTTAGTATCTAGTACAAGCCTGTTCAATTTCACAAATTTTACTACATTCAAAAAGAATATTAATTTATTGCAGTAATAAGCTCTCGTGTTAACAAAAGTTAGAGTATAGCAACAAGTTCCTAGAAAGGTCCTAACAAGTTGCTAATAAGTTCCTTATACTAAGATAAAGTATATTGTTATTTCAATTTAAATGCTAGTAATATAAATATACGTTTTATTTGAAATATCGTAAACTGTTATAATAACTACTAATAATAAATTATAAATTTTACATATTTAGGCCGATTGTACCGCCGCTGAGGCCACAACACTGAACGCTCTCGAGGACAAAGTGATCGCATGGGCTAACGCTGATGTCTGTAAAGATCATCATTACACCAAGGGCATTCAAACTTGCAAAAAACCATAAATTTTTATATAAAATAAAAACACACATGTGATAAAAATAAAATGTATGAGTTTTTAATAAAAATTGCCAATTATTCTAAGTGTTTAATACAAGATAAAACAACAATCTTGGTGTTCAAAAGTCAATCCAAACACGACAATACATAATACCGTATACTACAAAATGAGGTTATAAATAAAGTTGCAAGAAGCATAATTATTTTTAGTTAGTAACAAAATTATTATAAACTAGTACGCAAAATGTTTACAAAATTATCTGTCCTAGCCTTATTGTTGGTGGTAGCCTATACCGAGGCCAAATTATTTGGTTCCCTGTCGGGCACACCTGTCGATGACTTGGCAAAAGATCCATGCTTCCAAAAGAGTTACCAAGATGCTTACAAAATAGTCCACGCTAAAATACCCGACATCGACCCCACCATTAGAGAGCCCGCATACTTTTGTTGTGTTGCGTGGGTCGAGTTGGACGCTATGAGGGATGCTGGCAAGGTTCGTGTATTTTATTTTAGTATTTAATACACGTTTGTTTATTTTTACAAAATTTTGAACATTTTAGCGTTAAGTTTAGTTTATTTAAAATATTTCATATATTGTTCCCATGTAAATTTTAAATGAAAAATACAGTATAAAACACATTTTAATTTAGATTGTAATGTTATATATAAATTATGTTTTATATGAAGTAAAATGTTGCCTTTATATATTTATAACAAGTACATGTTTAATACAAAAATAGCTACATTTAATTAAATAATATGCTCAAGATAGATAAATTGATTGTTAAATATTTTCCACATTTAGGCTGACTGTACCGCAGCTGAGGCCACAACACTGGGCGCACTGGAAGACAAAGTGGTCGCATGGGCTAATGCCGGCGATTGTAAGGATCATCATTACACCAAGGGCATTCAAACTTGCAAAAAAAACCATAAATTTGTATTTAAAAAATAAATATTAATTTACATACAATATAAAAAGTGTTATCCTTTAAATAAATAAATATAAAAATACAATAAATTACATTATAAAAAGTATTATTTTAAAATTATTACAAATATAATTTACATTTATTATGAATCATACCGTGGTTCAAAAAATATTACCAATTACATTTCATAAAAAATTAAAATACAATTAAAATATAATTAATTTAGTAATTAAATTAATACTTAATTTAAAATACTGTATTAAATCTCATTGCGTAATAATTCATTATAAAATATACTGATAAATTTTTAAATTATGGTAAAACATTATTGATCCTTGTGAGCAATTTGATAAAATAAATTTACAAAGGCAATTTTATCAAGAATGTTAAAATACACCACTTTCATTTATTCTTATAATTCAGATAATAATTAATCAAATATTTAATATTTAATAAAATAGGTAACATACAGTACAACAACAACAAAATATAAGTGAATTGCCAGTGAGATAAATGCAGCTGGATAAAAGATGATAAAAATTAAGTGTGCGAGATTTTATATAAAACATATATGCGTATATTGCAAAACATTTTAGCAATTATTTTTTTAAGTGCCTAATATTAGATTAATAAATAATCTGGGTGTTCAAAAGTCAATCCAATTATACAACAATACTTAATGTACTACAAAATGAGACCGTATATATAAAGTTGAAACAAGCATAATTATTTTTAATTGGTAACATAACAGTAAACCAGTAAGCAAAAATGTCTTGTAAATTATTTGCCCTAGCCTTATTGTTGGTGGTAGCCTGCACTGAGGCCAAATTCTTTGGCTCCCTATCGGGCACACCTGTTGACGATTTAATGGCCGATCCCTGTTTGAAAAAGAGCTACCAAGATGCCTACGAACTGGTACATAAGAAAATTCCCGACATCGATCCCACTATCACAAATCCCGCCTACTTTTGCTGTATCTCATGGGTCGAGTTAGACCAGTTGAGAGTGGCCGCCAAGGTTAGTTAATTAACGCCTTTTAAAATTTTTTTAGTTTTTAAATAAGTAAATTTTATTTTACGTAAACAAAATTATAATGTTTATCATAATCAATACAAAATTGTAATATATTTAATATAAATTACTAATTGCTTTACAAATTAATTGTATTTTCCAATATTAGAAGGACTGCACCGCCGCTGAGGCCACGACTATGGGCGGTCTGGAAGACAAAGTGATCGCATGGGCTAATGCTGATGCTTGCAAAGATCATAAATACACCAAGGACATTCAAACATGCAAAAAACCATAAATTCTATGTATTTAAATAATAACATCAATTTATATGCAATTTAAAAGTATTGTATTTTAAAATAAAACATATTATAAATTGCAATTATTATATTTTTACTTGATATATCAAAAATTAATGTTGTATATTAGATGTTAATTGGATTTAAGTTAATTCAATTTGTTTAGCTAGAATGAAATTATGCTGTTAAATATACTTTATTAAATGTTTTTGAAAAATTAAATATAGTTTTATAGAAACTTATAATGTATTTCACAATATACACGGCATTTTTAATAACTATTTAATAACATTTTTGGGAACACTTTGAAATACGCTAGGTTTAATTTATGCTACAGTTTGCTTATGGTGGAGAGAAATTCATATTTTATAATAGTTATATTAATGCCAATATTAATGTGTAAATAATTAATAATTATACAAAAAGTATCAAACAAAAGCACAATAAAACAAACAAAAGCCAAATGAGCATTTTAAATTTTACAGTAATAAAAAGTAACATATATTATATATAAGGTTCATTACGGGAGGGAAGATATATATTTTCCCATATTTTCCCTCCCAAAAAATGGGAAAATCCCGGAAGATAAAAATGGCATGGGAACTTACTTTCACAAGGGAAAATATCTTTTTAAAAACTTGAAAAATTGCCACAATTATCCAAAAATTTTACAAAAATTTTGAAGTTTTTAAAAATTAAATCGCGTATTATTTAATTGTTTGTTATGAGACACGAACACTAGTACAGGCATTGGCACTCAAACAACATATCATTGTCATTGAACACCATTAAACCACTTTTTTGGGAAAATATAAATTCTTAATTAAATTATATTAAATTCATTAATAGGTTTTTAACAATTTATTTGATTATACGATGCTTAAACATGTTAAGGTCTATCGTTTAGGCCAATAAAAGCTATACATATATCTCGATTAATCATCAATTGACCACAATTTATGTCTTATTTTCCCATTTTTGAGGAAGATATGGGAAGTAAGGAAGATTCCTTATTTTCCGGGAAGATTTAACATAACATTTTGTTAGCACCGGCGAGCGATATTAGTATTGTTAAAGTAGCCAATTTTAACAGAATTCGATTTTGACAAACATTTTAACATTCTAAGTTAAATCACTTGTATTTAACTAAATTAATAGTTTTTAGGATTGTTTAAATTATTTTGATTACAACCATGAATACATACAATTAATATTTTGGTAGGGTTGTTACTTTACCGGTAATATTCAATTCAATTTTACATTACCAGTAATATTCGGTAATTTACGGTAATATTCGGTAAAATTGGTAATTTTCCACAAATTAATTAAATTAATGTTCGGTTCCTTATGGAATATTAATTATATATCTAATTACGATAGTTATCACTTGTAATATAATTTAAATCTACAGAATTCCTATCAGAATTACAATTAAGTTCGGAATTTTTATAGTTTTTGAAACAAAAATATTAAATAAAAACAATTTTACAAGTTGTTTATTATTAATAAAGTGATTATTTTCTCTCATATCAATTTTAATTATTAATCTAGTAATAATTAATTTTCAAAATAAAAGTTTTTTAAATTATTCAATTATTGGCATTTTGTACATGACTAATATTAAAAGTTCTGTATATTTTGACAAGTCACGTGTTTGAATGTTGTAATTTACATGTAAGATTCAGAAAACGTGGTAATTTACATGTAAATTACCGTAAATTACCACGGTAAAATTGTAATTTACCGAGTGTCACAACCCTATATTTTGATCACTTCATCGTTTTAAATCATAAATTATTGCCATATTTTATAACCTTTATATTTGTCATAGTTCCCTCGTATTTAATTTTTTTTGCTAACAAACGCCCTTTAAAATTAAGTAATGTAAATAAAGTTGTGATTATCTTTGTGTTTTGTACTAAAATATACCAAAAACTTAAGAAATGTGTCAAATAGTTACTTATTAGATAATAAACGTTCAAATAATTAGTTACGCATCAAATAGTTATATATAAGTAAAATAAACTTTCGGCAAACTAACCCCACAATACATGATCGGTTCACATCACGAGTCCGGGAGTAATGCTTTTAACCGCTAAAAATAGGTAGTATAAGTAGATACAGGCCATTTTAATTCAGGTAATACTGATAGTTAGACAATTTTTAGTCTACTATGATATTTATATAATAATAATTATATAAACATGATAGATGTAGATATAATAGCCGGTGATATTTAGTTAAAGTAAGTTGAACTATTACAACCCATGACATTTATGGTAAAGAGAGAGGGAGAGATAAAACATTAGCAATAAGCATAAAAATGTTTGATCAATAAGACAAACCATTTATATATTTAGTGACTGAATGTATGGACAGATCGGCGCCAAAGTCTAGCGGTTGCTGAAAGAGTGGATTCATCAAAGTGTTGTCCACAGCAATCACAGCCTTTGGTGCCGACCGGTCTCTCAATTTGCAAATAGCTTTCAGATCTATGAGTTTCATAAGAGGGTTGGACGGCGTGTCTACCCATAAGAGTTGAGTATTAGGGCGAATATTAGCGCCCATTGCGGACATGTCTGTAAAGTTGGCGAAAGTGATCGCAAAGCCCATTGGCTGCAAACACTGTGTAATATACTTGTGATTACCGGCGTATATGTCGGCGCACGCGAGCAAATGATCGCCGGCCGATAGCAAGTGTCCGCACGCGACGGTTGCGGCCATACCGGAGCCAAACGTTAGCGCGAATCTGGCGCTCTCCAGTGCGGCCAACGCTGTTTCGAGGGAATTGCGGGTCGGATTTGTTGCCCGGAAATAGCCGTAACCCTGTTTGGTATATGTTGGTGAGTTAAAGTAATAATATAAATTAAAATGTATCAGATCACGTCAATGGCCATCGGAGTATTAGACAAATTTCCAAAACTTTATAAGGGTTTATGCATTATATTATTTAATGAATTACATTATACATTTAGATCATAATTTTTCAATGCATAGAGATGTATGCAATTAAATATAAATTTGGTCGAAACATGAATGTCTGTGGCAAATTTGCATGATATTATTGTGGAATAGTTATTTCGTATTAATACATGATGTATCATAAATCACAAGTACATTATAATTTTATGAATAGTTAACTGTTAATCTGTAATTTCTTTTATGTATGATAAATTATATATTTATTTAATAGAATTAATAAAAATCATTGGATTAGCACTATTCCTATAGTATTAAATTAAGACTTAATATTACACACAATAGGAAATTAAAGATTACTCTTTGAATTAAAATTTATACAATTAATTATATTTAAAAAGTTGTACAAAATATAACAAACCGTTTTGGTAAAATTTGGATCAAACAATTGTTGAATTGAAAACTCAAAAGTTGTTGAATTGACAATAGGAAAAACACTCGCCCGGTGTGACCACTGATCTGGCGATTGACCGAAATGAATTGCTCGGGTGGTGATGTTTGACATGGTAAAACACTAGTTTTAATTGTTGTGGTTTTATATAAATTTATTATTATAACAACTGGGGCTAACACTTGTGTTTTTGCTATATATTGTTTGCTATGACAGATACCTGAGCTGTCATTACCTGTCAATACCTGTTACTACCCGTCCTTAGATACAAACACCTGCATCGGCTCCTATTCCCTGAATTCCTAAGATTGTTACACATTATACTTGTCATACAATTCCTATGTCTTAACTATTATGCACTCTTATGTACTCTTATGTACTCTATTATGTACTGTATATTCAACCACTATATGTACACAATATATAAACCCGAACCATAACTGTATCCCTTAATGTTGTGCTAGACTTCAAACCCGTAAGTCTTAACTCATTCACACAATACATACATTCATATAATAAATGGTGTTATCATCGGCTAAATGTGTAGTTATATGACCCTAAGGTT